TAATATTATATTATATATATATATGTACATATATATATATATATAGATATATGTATGTATGTACATGTCTATGTATATGTATATGTGTGTACATATATATATATATATATTATATATATATATATGTATAGAGGTTAGCATGAGTACACTACTCTGCGAATACTTTGAGGTGAAGAGCACTTTAACCTGCCTTTATGTGAGCTCGTTTTCACGTATAGGATGACGCTTAGTTCTGCAACTAATGCAATGCGGATTATCAGTACACATTAACGTGAGTCCAGTTCTCTGCAGGTCTGTAGCTAGAAATCTTATCTATGTAGCAGTACTTCGGTGTAGTATTGTGGCGAATACAGACAGTAGGCCAATTGTGAGCTTGTATTTACGTATCAATAAGTACATATTTCAGTTAATTTATGTATAAATTATGTCATCATACAGTAGGCCATATGTGAGCTCATATCTACGTATAAATAATGACATATTTCGGTAAGTTTACGGATAAATACGGTCATCATCCAGTACGCGTACTCTAAGCGCCAGGGATTTTACGTATAAATATGTGCATACTCAGCAAGTTTATGTAAAAAATATTAAAGTCATCCATTACGCGTACTGTGCGCTCATATCTACGTAAAAACAAATCTTCACAATGTCACAGCCAGCATATCATCCACTATTTCGACTGTGACCTCACTTTTACGTATAAACAATTACATATTCCAGTATGTTTACGTATAAACTCCCACCCCCCATCACCCAATAAACCTACTGTGCGCTCACGTTTACGTACAACCAATCCGTTACAGTTCTACAGCTAGTACACCACCCAGTACAGCGTGGAGGGCCGGCCGCGGAATGGGGCGAGTTTTTGCACCAGCCAGGAAAGATCTACACAGACTTCTCCAAGATCAGAGACGAGATAGCCAACGAAACAGACCGGCTGACTGGAACCAACAAGGGCATCTCACACACTCCCATCAACCTGAAACTATATAGCCCAAACATGCTCGATCTGACCCTGGTTGATTTGCCGGGTATTACGAAGGTGTGTGCGATGTATGTATGTCTGTGTGTATGTATGTATGCATGTATATATATATATATGTATGTATGTATGTGTATGTATGTATAGGTATATGTATTTGCATGTATGCATGTATGTATGAATATATGTTTGTATATGTATGTATGTATATCTATCTATCTATCCGTCCATCTTGGCGATCTAATCCACTTCTGAACCGCGTTCCCTATCACCATACCTAAATTCTCCCTATCCCACTCCTTTGTACCGAACATCCCCTCTGCTTACACAGATCGCCGTTGGAGACCAACCCGAAGACATTGAGGTGCAAATTCATCAGTTGATTGAGTCGTACATAAACAACCCAAACTGCATCATACTGGCTGTAACCGCTGCCAACACGGACATCGCGAACTCAGACGCTCTCAAGATGGCGAAGAAAGCGGATCCCAAGGGTGAGTGACTGATTGTAGGGGAGATGGGCTGCACTTGCGTTGACTCGTGTGTAGGGTTTCCGTTAGTTCTTGTGTATAAAATCTGCGTGTTTGGGTGTATAGTAGCCGTATATTCTCAGGTGTAGTATCCGTATGTCCATGTATATAAGTGTGTTAAATTTACTCTATATATATATATATAATACCCTTTATGACTGCTGGCAGATGGTTACCATATGTGCGTATGGACAGTATGTTGCTGGTGAATGTGTTGCACTCATGCATGTCTGATACTGTACATGCTGTATTGGATGTTCAGTACACCTGATAGCGTCCATTCCCGCGCACTCAAGGTGGGCAATAGGCATAGGCCTTACCCTATCATATGAGAACATCTTCATTCTGAAGGATAAACAGTTCTAAACCAATTTCAAACTATTTTCTCGTTTGGGGGTTCGGGCTGACGGACAATCGGCGTGTGCACAAAGCTGGAGCTCATCTCTGGAGGGATGCTCTGGTTTCAAACTAATTATATACTAACATCTTGTTTTGGACTTCAGGTTTACGGACGATCGGCGTGGCCACGAAACTGGATCTGATGGATGCAGGCACAGACGCACTGGACATATTGACCGGCAAAGTGGTAGCCAGTAAACTTGGGTTTATTGGTGTGGTAAACCGGAGCCAGGCGGATATCAATCAGAAGGTGTCGATAGAAACTGCGAGAGAGGCAGAGCAGGAGTATTTCAGGTACACGTCCTGGTGGTGTATGTTACACGTGTATGTCGAGGTTATAGGCATATATATATATGGTACTCAGCGAAAGGGCTTTTGTATGTATGTATATTTATACTGAAACGGAGAGATTCTTCTCTTTACTATCCAGAGCATATCCCGCCTACAGGTCTCTGCGCAAGCAATCTGGCACTATATATATATATTTATATATATAAATATATGTATGTATGTATGTAATATATATATATATATATATGTATGTATGGATGTAATATATATATATATATATGTATGTATGTATGTATGTAATATATATATATATATATGTATGTATGTATGTATGTAATATATATATATATATATACCCTCTGCGAACGAATGGATTCTTCTTTCTACCACTCAGGACACATCCCGCCTACAAGTCTCTATACAAGCAATCCGGTACCGAATATCTGACGAGGCGACTCAACCAATTGCTGATGACCCACATCCGTCGGTGCTTGCCCTCTCTCCGCAGCAGAGTGAGTGGTTTAACGTTGCTGTTGTTTTGTACTACTATGTCTGTTACTAAGTGTGTTCCTGTTATATTTATATATATATATATATATATATGTGTGTGTGTTCTTTGCTACTTATTTATTCAGTTCTGAAGCAGAATATGTAGCACAACACCCTTGTTACTTGTACTGTCACATCCTTTTTCTATGTACCCTTTGAGTGTGGGGTTTGACGTTGGTGTTACTTCTACTAATAAATGGGATGTACATAACTAGTGCACTCAATATCTGTGCCATACGATATGTATTATCTTAACATCTCTATATTGTATCTGCACATCCGTCCATCCCACAGTAGCACCTCTGCTATGCATCGTGTATAATATATACGTTACAAGTGTATCTATATACTCTATGATCCATCATATATTATATATACGTAATACGTTCCAACTACATACTCTCTATGATCCATCATATATAATATATTCGTAATACGTTCAACCACATCCTGTATATGATCCATCATAAATAATATATACGTAATACGTCTATCTATGCCCCCTCTATGATGCGTCATATATAATACATACGTACTATGTTCTCACTCTATCCTCTATATGATCCATCATGTATAATATACAAGTCATACGTTAACTACATCCTCACTATGATCCATCATATACAATACATACGCAATACGTTCAACTACACCCTCTCTATACCAACCCACACACCCTCACATCCCCGCCTATACATGCCCTGTGTCTGCCCATACGCCCACCCCACAGGTACACGCTCTGCTGTCAGAGAAGACTACGGAGATGCAGGCCTTCGGGGACTCGTATCTGGAGAATGTGGACAAAGGTGCGTTGCTGCTGCAGCTGCTGACCCGCTTCAGCCAGGCGTTCTCACAGGTGTGTGTACAGACACTCGCTGTAGTGTTGTGTGTGTAGTTAGAGTGTTGTGTGTGTAGTTAGAGTGTTGTGTGCGTAGTTAGAGTGTTGTGTGTGTAGTTGTAGTGTTGTGTGTGTAGTTAGTGTTGTGTGTGTAGTTAGTGTTGTGTGTGTAGTTATAGTGTCGTGTGTGTAGTTAGAGTGTTGTGTATAGTTAAAGTGTTGTGGGCGTAGTAAGTTTTGTGTGTGTAGTTAGTAGTGTTGTGTGTGTAGTTATAGTGTTGTGTGCGTAGTTAGTGTTGTGTGTGTAGTTATAGTGTTGTGTGTGTAGTTAGAGTGTTGTGTGTGTAGTTAGAGTGTTTGTGCGTGCAGTTATAGTGTTGT